AAAAGTAGACTCTGAAATGGGACCTGGGTGCTGGCAATGTTTTGAGAGATTATCCCAGTAAACACAAATAAGAAAAGGAGATAGGAGACAAGGAAGAGGAAAGCCATCAATAATTGATGAGCAAGCTGCCACCATGGGCAACTGGACTCAGTCCCCTGGGGACATTGATTTGTCCCACTGAGAAATAGGGAAGTCAGTATACTTTGATCTACCATTTCCTGTCAGTCACTGGTAGAGGGCTGTCCCTGAGCAGTTAGAGCCCTGACATTTTCAGGCCTCCCTGCACAAAAGCTCCTGTGGTGCAGGGAAATGCTCCTGGAGAGAATGCTGATACCTGAGATGGGAAGTAGTCAGAGTACATGAGCTGCAGCTGCAGGTGAATTCAGAGGGGACTTAGAAGTGCGAAGGGTGTCAACAACATCTGCTACATTCCACACAGAAGGTTCAGAGAGTATAGGGATCTTGCTCAGGGTCACAAAGGTGGTCTAGGAATTACCATGTCTGTCTGATTAACCCCAGAGCCCCTGCCCTTTCTGTTGCCTGCATGCCTCCAAACACCCTGTATGGTGTGCCCATACCTTACCATATTCCCTCATGCCTTTGCCCTCAGGAAAATACCATCCACTGGCAAGTTGATGCTGACCCTCACAACTGACGCCTGCGAGGGGAAGGAAAATTTTGTCCGCTACCTCGAGCACGTCCAAGCCGTCATCACGGTCAACGCAACCAGAAGAGGAGACCTGAACATCAACATGACTTCCCCTATGGGCACCAAGTCCATCCTGCTGAGCCGGCGTCCGAGGGATGATGACTCCAAGGTGGGCTTTGACAAGTGGCCTTTCATGACCACCCACACGTGGGGGGAAGACGCCCGAGGAACCTGGACCCTGGAGCTGGGGTTTGCTGGGAGCACACCCCAGAAAGGGGTGCTGAAGGAGTGGGCCCTGATGCTGCATGGCACACAGAGTGCCCCTTACATCGACCAGGTCGTGAGGGATTACCAGTCCAAGCTGGCCATGTCCAAGAAGGAGGAGCTGGAGGAAGAGCTGGACGAGGCTGTGGAGAGAAGCCTCAAGAGCCTCCTGCACAAGGACTAGTGCCATCCCTGCCTCCACCACTTTCCCCCATCTCTGCCTCCTGTCCTTGCTCCACCCTCTGTCAGGAACCCAGCAATTACTGTCACCCCCACACAAGCAGTTCCAGCTTCTCCATCTGAAGCTCCGCTCACTGTCAGTGATTATTTTCATTACAATGGAAGCAATCTTTTTTATCCTGTGCCCCAAATACAGTGTTCCCACCAACACCTACATTCTATTTGTGACTCTTAAGTTCTTTGTTTCTGTCATTCGAATAGGTGATATCCTGCAAACAAAACTGGGACAACTTTCCCCTCACTATTTTTTCATATCTGACAAGAGAAGAGAATGCATTTAACAAGCCACACACAGGGATACTAAGAACATTTATTTGTGGTCTCAAATGCAGACCTGTTACATAAAAGAAACTCAAGGAATATGACAGAGGATGAGCTATGAACAGAGCACAGGAGATGCTGTAAGTCCTTTGGGGATAAATGTTTGCAACTTAGCAAGGTTTTTCAGGAATGTAAGGCAGCATGCTTTGAAAGATGCCATCCATGAGAGCCCTAATTCCTGGATGGGGAAGAAAGTCAAACTTCATGAGCATTCAAAGTCTCACCAGTATCAAGATCGTAATTTGTCCTATTCAGCCAGTGTTATAAACATAAAACCTAAGTAGCGAGGCTGCCATTCCACCAGCTGCTGCTCTGAGTCATGGTAAAATCTGCCAGAGAAACCTAATTACTCCCAGTTTGTACAGGGTTCATTCCTGCCCCAATTTTCTGGGGTTCCTCACATAGCTATCAAAGGAGAGAAAGATAAGGCAGGTCTGGCACCATGTCTGAAGAATAAAGCCTAGCTTGGTGGTTTTTAACACAAGGACTTTCCTTTTCCAAGTCACTTTGTGGCTCCTTAACCTGACGCTAGAGGCTGGGTATTTTTGACACAGGAATACTTGGCTTTGATTTGCAAAACATGATTGGAGGGAAACAGCTTACACCTTCATGCTGTGGTTTCCTTGCTGGGGTAAGGAAATGCCCTCTGTCCTAGGAGCAGTGAGGGAGGGAGAAGGGGTATGTTTGAAGACGTGAGTGGCTGTCTTCACACAGACCTGCATTGGTTTGCAGCCTCTTCTGCCACAGGGGACAAATGCAGAGTCATCCCTCTGTAACTTGAGGCCTGAAGGAAGCAAGAAGACCTCAGTAGGGAAAGCACAGTTACCGTCTCAGCAACTAAGTGATCCACGGGGATGTTTAACATGCAACCCAAAGTCGGGACATCCCTTCCCCCATAAGCCCCAAAAGACACTACACCATTTCATTACCAAATAGAAATGCTTTCTGACCTACTGTCACTTTGCTTTCCTACCCAAAGAATGGCCCCACACCCCCAATCCCAATGCCCACCCATTCCCAAGAAATAGTCTGTTTGCTTGAGCTGATGCCCAAGAACTGATCAGCCATGCCTGGCTGCATTTCTCCCTTACATGGGAGCATGTAGCTAAGCCTGGAGTTCCTTCCCTTAAAGTCAGCAACGCTAAGGCAGTAGGTTCCATTCCCTGAAGGTAGCTCACCATTCTGGTGATGATGTCTGGAAAGCCCATTTTCTTTCTTTCTTCCCCTATGTTGGCATGAATTTCTGTCTTCTCTAACACCATATGACCTTCTCTAAATAATGCTTTAAAAATGTAATAATATTTATGATTTTTAAAAGAAATTTATTACTTATTGTGAAGGTCTTTTTAAACCAGTTTAGATTTAAAGAAAAAAAATAAATGGAAATCATCAAAAATTCATTTCATATTAACACTATGAAAATAAACCAAAGGACATTATGTGTGCATGTGTATATAAGCACACAGAAATATATATACATATGTAGACTATATACACTTTAGGTATATGTGTGCAGATAAGTGTATAAATGTATCTGCACACATATACCTAAAATGTGTGTATGTATATTTATTAAAGAAAGAGACACCATATTCATGTCTAAAAGAATATTCAGAGAATATGAAGATGATTCTGGCTGAAGAAAAAGGCCAGTGGAAATTCAGGTGAAAATGTTCATCAATTCCCATTATAACATATCTGTCATTTTGCAGCTCTCTGTGTAAACATTTTATGTCTTATAAAGCAGCAAAAATATAAAATAAGTGTCCATATTTTCAAAGTTGTGGTATAATTTATGAAGTTAGAGAGTAACTTAACAGATTCTTAATAGAAATGGCAAGTTTTGATATGAATAAACAGTATATAAAAATATATATAGTGCTATATAAAAATATTTGGTCTCTTTTCATTTTCACACTAGTATTAACACTAAAATATGTCTAGCTAGTGAGGTTTTTATGACATCCCTAATCCTAACACAAGAGACAGGTATTTAGAGTCATTTATTTTTAAAAAATGAAAATAAGTGAGTAATTACTGATCAGTTACCATTGTTACTCCCTGTGACAAAATTTTATAAGTAAATTTAAAAAGACATGTTGTAAATTAGGAGATTCAACAATAAAACATTACCTTCCAGAAATTATGTGGGATGTGATATGTATTACATAAAAACACTTCCATCCATTTTAGGAGCAGATAATAAAAAGTTGCTGAAGAGATCTCAAAAGCCTGCTTTCATAAATTTGCATGAAAGATTTATAATAAGGAAATAAATCATATGCAAATAATGATCTGCGGCAGCGTTTTTCAAACTCAGGTCACATCCCACCAGTGGGTCATAAAATAACTTTAGGGATTCAAGACCAGAGTTTTGGAACGGAATGGAATGAATCATGCATATTAATAATACGTATTGTTTCCTGAAATATTTGTTTCAGGAGTGTGTGTGTGTGTGTGTGTGTGTGTGTGTGTGTGTGTGTGTGGTGTGTGTGTGTGTCTGAATAAACTCACAATATAAGATACATTTCTTATTGTGAGTCATGATCAAAAATCTTTTAGGAAGACAATTCTAGAATACATTTGTCAGGCTAGACTAAGTTATACTTATAACCAAATCCCATTAGTTAAAGAAAGACTTTTCATTCACACAAATTCCTGTGAGGGTTCAGGTGACTCCCCAAGGCCACAGAACTCCATGCAATAACTCAGGGATTCAGGCTGCTTTGATCTTCAATCTATGGTTTGTAATCATAACACAAGGCTGCTACAATCACCACACAAGAGTAGCACACCCTTGGAGGACTCTCATCCACTGTGTTCAGCCTGAAGGGGACACACATGTCACCTGGCCTGCTGTGCATTGGCCTAAGGTTTAATGAGCTCCTATTTCAGTCGGAGTTGCCCCAAAAAGTAGACTCTGAAATGGGACCTGGGTGCTGGCAATGTTTTGAGAGATTATCCCAGTAAACACAAATAAGAAAAGGAGATAGGAGACAAGGAAGAGGAAAGCCATCAATAAAGAGTGCATTGATGAGCAAGCTGCCACCATGGGCAACTGGACTCAGTCCCCTGGGGACATTGATTTGTCCCACTGAGAAATAGGGAAGTCAGTATACTTTGATCTACCATTTCCTGTCAGTCACTGGTAGAGGGCTGTCCCTGAGCAGTTAGAGCCCTGACATTTTCAGGCCTCCCTGCACAAAAGCTCCTGTGGTGCAGGGAAATGCTCCTGGAGAGAATGCTGATACCTGAGATGGGAAGTAGTCAGAGTACATGAGCTGCAGCTGCAGGTGAATTCAGAGGGGACTTAGAAGTGCGAAGGGTGTCAACAACATCTGCTACATTCCACACAGAAGGTTCAGAGAGTATAGGGATCTTGCTCAGGGTCACAAAGGTGGTCTAGGAATTACCATGTCTGTCTGATTAACCCCAGAGCCCCTGCCCTTTCTGTTGCCTGCATGCCTCCAAACACCCTGTATGGTGTGCCCATACCTTACCATATTCCCTCATGCCTTTGCCCTCAGGAAAATACCATCCACTGGCAAGTTGATGCTGACCCTCACAACTGACGCCTGCGAGGGGAAGGAAAATTTTGTCCGCTACCTCGAGCACGTCCAAGCCGTCATCACGGTCAACGCAACCAGAAGAGGAGACCTGAACATCAACATGACTTCCCCTATGGGCACCAAGTCCATCCTGCTGAGCCGGCGTCCGAGGGATGATGACTCCAAGGTGGGCTTTGACAAGTGGCCTTTCATGACCACCCACACGTGGGGGGAAGACGCCCGAGGAACCTGGACCCTGGAGCTGGGGTTTGCTGGGAGCACACCCCAGAAAGGGGTGCTGAAGGAGTGGGCCCTGATGCTGCATGGCACACAGAGTGCCCCTTACATCGACCAGGTCGTGAGGGATTACCAGTCCAAGCTGGCCATGTCCAAGAAGGAGGAGCTGGAGGAAGAGCTGGACGAGGCTGTGGAGAGAAGCCTCAAGAGCCTCCTGCACAAGGACTAGTGCCATCCCTGCCTCCACCACTTTCCCCCATCTCTGCCTCCTGTCCTTGCTCCACCCTCTGTCAGGAACCCAGCAATTACTGTCACCCCCACACAAGCAGTTCCAGCTTCTCCATCTGAAGCTCCGCTCACTGTCAGTGATTATTTTCATTACAATGGAAGCAATCTTTTTTATCCTGTGCCCCAAATACAGTGTTCCCACCAACACCTACATTCTATTTGTGACTCTTAAGTTCTTTGTTTCTGTCATTCGAATAGGTGATATCCTGCAAACAAAACTGGGACAACTTTCCCCTCACTATTTTTTCATATCTGACAAGAGAAGAGAATGCATTTAACAAGCCACACACAGGGATACTAAGAACATTTATTTGTGGTCTCAAATGCAGACCTGTTACATAAAAGAAACTCAAGGAATATGACAGAGGATGAGCTATGAACAGAGCACAGGAGATGCTGTAAGTCCTTTGGGGATAAATGTTTGCAACTTAGCAAGGTTTTTCAGGAATGTAAGGCAGCATGCTTTGAAAGATGCCATCCATGAGAGCCCTAATTCCTGGATGGGGAAGAAAGTCAAACTTCATGAGCATTCAAAGTCTCACCAGTATCAAGATCGTAATTTGTCCTATTCAGCCAGTGTTATAAACATAAAACCTAAGTAGCGAGGCTGCCATTCCACCAGCTGCTGCTCTGAGTCATGGTAAAATCTGCCAGAGAAACCTAATTACTCCCAGTTTGTACAGGGTTCATTCCTGCCCCAATTTTCTGGGGTTCCTCACATAGCTATCAAAGGAGAGAAAGATAAGGCAGGTCTGGCACCATGTCTGAAGAATAAAGCCTAGCTTGGTGGTTTTTAACACAAGGACTTTCCTTTTCCAAGTCACTTTGTGGCTCCTTAACCTGACGCTAGAGGCTGGGTATTTTTGACACAGGAATACTTGGCTTTGATTTGCAAAACATGATTGGAGGGAAACAGCTTACACCTTCATGCTGTGGTTTCCTTGCTGGGGTAAGGAAATGCCCTCTGTCCTAGGAGCAGTGAGGGAGGGAGAAGGGGTATGTTTGAAGACGTGAGTGGCTGTCTTCACACAGACCTGCATTGGTTTGCAGCCTCTTCTGCCACAGGGGACAAATGCAGAGTCATCCCTCTGTAACTTGAGGCCTGAAGGAAGCAAGAAGACCTCAGTAGGGAAAGCACAGTTACCGTCTCAGCAACTAAGTGATCCACGGGGATGTTTAACATGCAACCCAAAGTCGGGACATCCCTTCCCCCATAAGCCCCAAAAGACACTACACCATTTCATTACCAAATAGAAATGCTTTCTGACCTACTGTCACTTTGCTTTCCTACCCAAAGAATGGCCCCACACCCCCAATCCCAATGCCCACCCATTCCCAAGAAATAGTCTGTTTGCTTGAGCTGATGCCCAAGAACTGATCAGCCATGCCTGGCTGCATTTCTCCCTTACATGGGAGCATGTAGCTAAGCCTGGAGTTCCTTCCCTTAAAGTCAGCAACGCTAAGGCAGTAGGTTCCATTCCCTGAAGGTAGCTCACCATTCTGGTGATGATGTCTGGAAAGCCCATTTTCTTTCTTTCTTCCCCTATGTTGGCATGAATTTCTGTCTTCTCTAACACCATATGACCTTCTCTAAATAATGCTTTAAAAATGTAATAATATTTATGATTTTTAAAAGAAATTTATTACTTATTGTGAAGGTCTTTTTAAACCAGTTTAGATTTAAAGAAAAAAAATAAATGGAAATCATCAAAAATTCATTTCATATTAACACTATGAAAATAAACCAAAGGACATTATGTGTGCATGTGTATATAAGCACACAGAAATATATATACATATGTAGACTATATACACTTTAGGTATATGTGTGCAGATAAGTGTATAAATGTATCTGCACACATATACCTAAAATGTGTGTATGTATATTTATTAAAGAAAGAGACACCATATTCATGTCTAAAAGAATATTCAGAGAATATGAAGATGATTCTGGCTGAAGAAAAAGGCCAGTGGAAATTCAGGTGAAAATGTTCATCAATTCCCATTATAACATATCTGTCATTTTGCAGCTCTCTGTGTAAACATTTTATGTCTTATAAAGCAGCAAAAATATAAAATAAGTGTCCATATTTTCAAAGTTGTGGTATAATTTATGAAGTTAGAGAGTAACTTAACAGATTCTTAATAGAAATGGCAAGTTTTGATATGAATAAACAGTATATAAAAATATATATAGTGCTATATAAAAATATTTGGTCTCTTTTCATTTTCACACTAGTATTAACACTAAAATATGTCTAGCTAGTGAGGTTTTTATGACATCCCTAATCCTAACACAAGAGACAGGTATTTAGAGTCATTTATTTTTAAAAAATGAAAATAAGTGAGTAATTACTGATCAGTTACCATTGTTACTCCCTGTGACAAAATTTTATAAGTAAATTTAAAAAGACATGTTGTAAATTAGGAGATTCAACAATAAAACATTACCTTCCAGAAATTATGTGGGATGTGATATGTATTACATAAAAACACTTCCATCCATTTTAGGAGCAGATAATAAAAAGTTGCTGAAGAGATCTCAAAAGCCTGCTTTCATAAATTTGCATGAAAGATTTATAATAAGGAAATAAATCATATGCAAATAATGATCTGCGGCAGCGTTTTTCAAACTCAGGTCACATCCCACCAGTGGGTCATAAAATAACTTTAGGGATTCAAGACCAGAGTTTTGGAACGGAATGGAATGAATCATGCATATTAATAATACGTATTGTTTCCTGAAATATTTGTTTCAGGAGTGTGTGTGTGTGTGTGTGTGTGTGTGTGTGTGTGTGTGTGTGGTGTGTGTGTGTGTCTGAATAAACTCACAATATAAGATACATTTCTTATTGTGAGTCATGATCAAAAATCTTTTAGGAAGACAATTCTAGAATACATTTGTCAGGCTAGACTAAGTTATACTTATAACCAAATCCCATTAGTTAAAGAAAGACTTTTCATTCACACAAATTCCTGTGAGGGTTCAGGTGACTCCCCAAGGCCACAGAACTCCATGCAATAACTCAGGGATTCAGGCTGCTTTGATCTTCAATCTATGGTTTGTAATCATAACACAAGGCTGCTACAATCACCACACAAGAGTAGCACACCCTTGGAGGACTCTCATCCACTGTGTTCAGCCTGAAGGGGACACACATGTCACCTGGCCTGCTGTGCATTGGCCAGTATGGTCAATGACCCTGTCTATATGAAAAATAACTTGGAAATGCAGGACAAATAATGAAATACTTGATGAAGAGACTCTACCATGGAGAGAGCTTGACATCCCCTTGAAACACATTCTTAAGTACTGATTCATGCTGCCACCTCTCTTCCTGGATGGCACCATGAACAATTTTATAAACTAGTTATACCCCAGGTGAACACATGCCATTCTAGCAAATCTTAGTAGTCATTAGTAAACTACAAATTATTAATAAAATATTTTTATCATAGTTCATTGCAAAAACAGCTTTAAATTTCATCTATGATACAGTATTCATCAAACCCAATTAGTAAAATCTTAAGAGAGCCTATGATTAAAAACAGGCATTGAAAGGTGTGAGTTCCAAAGTCATCATGATCTTGTGACAAACTGAGACACTGCTTTTCAATACTCAAGTTCAAAGATTGATCTCCAGAAGATTAAGTTAAGAAACTGATCATTCTTATAGAGTTGCTAACATATGTCATTGTTATTATCACCTATAAATTAATACGAGTGGTGTGCATGTGACCAATGCCGTCACTGGGTGAAGTAATCACATGAGAGCCGCACACTACAAAATCTTTAGGAAACAGAGACAGGTATTTTATTTTAAGAGAGAGAAATGCTGAATTAGGGGAATTGGTACCCTTATAGTCAGGGTAAATTCTTGGATGCAAAGAATCTAATTAGTATTAAAAATAATAATGTCAAGATTAGAGGTAGTGGTTGTGGGAGGAAATAAGGGGTTCAAAAAACTCTGGGACTTTGAAATAACATCAGCACAAAATGTGTGCTGGGCCAAAAACAGCAATTTGGATGTATAGGCAGCTAGATGGTTCACTTTCTCCCAAGAAAGAATGAATGAACAGAAAGGACTGGAATGGGGACTGGCACTCAGCACATGGGAGCTGAGGAGAATGGCAAATCAGGGGGAAGAAAAGTTGCAGACAGTATCTGGTGGTGGTCAGCACAGAGAAACAGAGGCTGGTATAAGAGGCTCTGAAGAGCACTGGGAAGCTATCCCCACACAGGTGCCTTGAAAACACCAACAGTCTGATTCCATGCCCACCCACAGCAAGATATCACCGCCAGCGGAGGGGGTAACCAGCATAAGGATAGCAGCACCTTCTAGGAAAGAAGACCCCCCCTCTCCTTGCATTACAAATTAATCAACAAGTACTCGAGTTCTCCCACTAGTCTCTTGTGTGTTTCGTTACCAAGAGTCCCTTTTCTTGGGTTAAAAAAAACCCTGCTTGAATTTGGTTTTGGATTTATAAGGGACCAGGAATCATACTCTGATCTGAGACAAATTCTCCAAGCCAGCCTGCCAGCCTTGTTTCTCTCTTAGTATTTAGAATAGGCTCACTATTCATGAAACTGGGGACAGAATGAACTGACCGTGAGAAATGCACTTGGCCAAAAAGATGAATACTTTTTATTGGTAAATTCGTAGTGCTCAGCCCTGCATGGCGTGGGGCAGAGGTGGGGCATTAGAAATCTCAGCCTACAGAGTTTTAGATGCTAGAGCAGCCAAATAAGTCTGGGGATCCTTAGGTCTAATGTTAATTGTCACCAGGCTTCAGACCAACCCACCCTCACCATCCCACCTCATGGTGACCTCAGAGATGTCCCTCAGCACCCAAAATGACACCTCACGGGCGACTCCAAGCTAGACAGAAGGCAGAGGCTGCCGCCTGTCTTTTTCTGCTTTTGCATCATGTCCTGGAGCCATGACGGGCCACAGGTGAAAGATAAGCCACCTGGTGAGCTCCGGGTCACAAGGACAAAGGCACACAGGTGAAGGGGCAGGTGTGACTGGCAAGGCACCAGCAGGGTGGAGTTACTGACCAGGGATGCTCTCCTGATAGAACATACACCTCAACTCAGAAATCCTGTTTCTTTGAATGTAATGTAAGTCATGGTGCATTCTTGTGGCATTTAGTTGCACAAGAAATTGGATTCAGGCATTCGTACTAATCGAGGGACCTGAATGATGTATGAGTTTTTATATGATTTCATTCAGCAGCAACACCCCTACTGCAAACCTATGATACAAAAATTTTAGGATACACTTGATTATAATGATTGCTTGAAGATCCTTTCTCACAAAATATGCTTCAGGTCAAGGAGACACCTGAAAGAAATGTTCCAACATGAAGGGGAAGGCAGAAACAAGTAGAGATGCCAGGTTAGCAGTGTCTTCTGATATGCAAATTGAATTTTATATTAGATCCTCTTGGTGTGTGCTCTACATCAGCAATCAGCAAACTATGACCCAGGGACCTAGTCCAGCCTGCTGCCTGTTTCTGTAATACAGTCCTATTGAAACCAATCATGCCCATTTCATTTTGTACTGTCTGTGGCTGTTTTCAGGCTAAAACAGCAGAGTTTAATAGTTACAACAGAGGCTATACAGCCTGTGATCTAGTCCTTCATAGAAAATATTTGCCAACCTCTGCCCTATATCTATCTCCTTGGCCCACCCCAGAGGCCACCTGTAGATGGTTTCCATACATGCCAAGGATGCTCTCTCCACCAGCAGTGCCAGGGAATCAATGCCCCAGAGCCACCTGTGCCTGAGGAAGGTGGGAGCTGGTGCATAGATAGCCCAGTTCCTCTTGGGACAATCTGGAGATGTTCTACTTGATCTCTTTGGGGAGGGGCCCACAGTTGCCCACAGTGGCTTCTCCATCTCACGCCACCCTCCCTCACCAGTCAGGAGGCACAAATCCCACTACTGATGTAAGGGAAAATTGAATATCAAGTGCTATAAACTGTGTATAAGGAAGTATTGCCTACTTACTTAGAAAGGCAAAAGAGAACACTAGGGCCTCACACAAACCAAGCACTCTGACATGCACGAGTCGGTGGCTCCGCAGAGGTAAAGGTGGCTCACATGGACTATGGTGGGTTCTGGGGAGGGGACACCACCCGCCTGACAAGTCCATCATGCCCAGAGGTGGAGTGTGAGCACACATAGCAGACCCAGACCCCTGAGGAGGGGCAGCAACCAGCCGGTGCAGGCATCTCAGGAGATTGCAATGGGGCTGGCTCTGCAAATGCTGGAAAAACTGGAAACTGCAGGCTGCTGTTCCTATGGAAGGAGCTGCCACTGTCGGGGGAGGAAGCTGGGCAATGGGGACAAAGAGATGGAAAAGGTTCCTTCTACCCTCCAACCTTTTGCTCTTTCCCTACCAGGCAGACACTAGCAAAGCAGGAACGAGGTCAGAGGTTCAGGCCTGCACAGCAGGCTTGGAGCTAAGAGACAGGTGCTTACTGATGGCACGCTGAGTTCAGGGGATCAGTGCTGTAATAAACCACATGCAAGTCAAGACCTCGTTCAGGGTGTGCTTTGGGGGCAACCCAATTTAATTTAAACCTCTGTAACTTCCTCCTTCAGAACAAAGCTCATTCATTAGCAGTTATCTTTGGGAATCTTTGGAGTTGTAAGCAACAGAAATGAACTCTAATGAAAACACATAAGTAACATGTCCGAAAGCAAGTGGAGTAGCTCTCGGAACTGAAGGAAAGCCTGAAAAGCCAGCCTAAGCCAGCCAAGGAAAGGGCCAGGAACTGGAGCAAGCCTAGGGGTGGGGCACACAGAGGGAAGCAAGCATGAGTGTGTCAGAACTCCCCCGCCAGGGGCCAGCACCTGCACTTTCCATCTTGGTTTCCCTGGACTCAGATTTCCAGTTCCAGAGATCAGTCTAGTGTGGGACACTTGCCTACCCCGCAACCATGGGGACAGGATGTCCTGCAGTCTGATCAGGGCTGTATCCAGTGTGGGAGGAGCAGCTCCTCAATATGTAGCTGCCCCCTGAGGAATAGGAGCTGTTGCTGGGCAGATGCCAACCAGCATCCTAGGCTGGGCCCCCAAGAGGCTGACTCTGAAACAGCAGCTCTCAACCAGGAGTCCAGGTCAAGTCATTTATTTGAAAAGAAGCATCTCTATATAGGGGAGCAGGAAAGTGAGACAGGGAAGAAAGGAAGTCACTTCAGGGTTCATAGATAAGTGGGCTTCTTCCCGGCATCTGGGACACAGAGCTACTGGGAACTGTGCCAAACATGCCTCAGAGTTACCCCAACAGATTGGGGAGAGAGTCGGGTATTTGTGCACCAGGTCCTGTCCATCCTGGTTGAGAGATGCTCCCAGGAGCATGAATGCCCAGCACTCCCAACCTGCTCCGTGTGTGGACTGAGCAGCTACGGCCATGGGAGCCCCTCAGGCACAGAGTCACATGTTTTTGGTGTGAGAAGCTTGGGAGTGTGGGCATGGACCAGGACAGCAATGTCGGGGGCTCTGGGGATCAGCACCCAGGAGGCTGATATGACAGCAG